GTAGCATGGACATTTTGACAATCGATGAGCACAATACATCTTTCCATTTATTTGTGTCTTCTTCAGTTCTTTTTATCAATGTTTTAGAGTCTGCAGTGTATAGGTCTTTTGCCTCCTTGGTTAAATTTATTCCTAAGTAGTTTATGCTTTTAGATGTAATTATAAATAGGATTGGTTTCTTAATTTCTCTTTCTGATAGTTCCTTATTAGTGTATAGAAATGCAACAGATTTGTGTGTATTTATTTTGTATTCTGCAACTTTACTGAATTCATTTACTAGTGCTAATAGCTTTTTGGTGGAATCTTTAGGATTTTCTACATCTATGCAAATAGTGACAGTGTTGCTTCTTTTCTAATTTGGATGCCTTTTATTTCTCCGTCTTGTCTGATAGCTGTTGCTGGGACTTCCAATAATATGTTGAATAAAAATGGTGAGAATGAGCATCCTTGTCTTGTTCCTGATCTTAGAGGAGAAGCTTTCAGCTTTTTACTGTTGAGTATGATGTTAGCTGTGGGTTGCTTATAAATGGTCTTTATTATTTCGAGATATTTTCCCTCTATGCCCACTTTGCTGAGATTTTTTTTTATCATAAATGGATGTTAAATTTTATCAAATGGTTTTTCTGCATCTGTTGAGATGATCATGATTTTTTTGCTTATTTTTTTATTTTTTTAAATTCAAGTTAGTTAACATATAGTGTAGCATTGTTTTCAAGAGTAGAACTTAGTGATTCGTCACTTACATATAACACCCAGTTCTCATCCCAACAAGTGCCCTCACTCATTAATGCCCATCACCCATTTAGGCCATCGCCCCACCTGACACCCCTCCAGCAACCCCTACTTTGTTTTCTGTATTTAAGAATCTTTTATGGTTTGCCTCCCTCTCTGTTTTTATCTTATTTTTCCTTCCCTTCTCCTTCTCCTTCCCTTCTCTTCTCTGTTTTGTTTCTTAAGTTCCACATATGAGTGAAATCATAAGGTATCTGTCTTTCTCTGACTCATTTCACTTAGCATAATACACTCTAGTTCTATCCACACTGTTCCAAATAGCAAGATTTCATTCTTTTTGATTACCAGGTAATACTCCACTGCATATATGTATCACATCTTCTTTTTCCGTTCATCAGTCAATGGACATTTGGGCTCTTTCCAGAACTTGGCTATTTGTAACAGCACTGCAATAAACATTGGGGCACATGTGCCCCTTCAAATCAGCATTTTTGTATTCTTTGGATAAATACCTCGTAGTGCAATTGCCAGGTTGTAGGGTAGTTCTATTTTTAATTTTTCGAGGAACCTCTGTACTGTTTTCCAGAGTGGCTGCACCAGTTTGCATTCCCACCAACAGTACCAAACTGTTCCCCTTTCTCCACATCCTTGCCAACACCTGTTGTTTCCTGAGTTGTTAATTTTAGCCATTGTGACAGGTGTGAGGTGGTATCCGTTGTGGTTTTGATCTGTATTTCTCTGATCGTGAGTGATGTTGAGCATCTTTTTATGTGTCTATTAACCATCTGAATTGTCTTCTCTGGAAATGTGTCTATTCATATCTTTTGCCCATTTCTTCACTGGATTATTTGTTTTTTGGGTGTTGGTTTGATAAGTTCTTTAGATTTTGGATACTAACCTTTATCTGATATGTCATTTGCAAATATCTTCTCCCATTCCATCAGTTGCCTTTTTGTTTTGCTGATTGTTTCCTTCACTGTGCAGAAGCTTTTTATCTTCAGGTCCCAGTGAGGGAGGCTTTTGTTTCCCTTGCCTCCAGAAATATATCTAGTAAGTGGTTGCTGTGGCCAAGGTCAAAGAGGTTGATAATTTCCTGTCTCATGTTTAGGTTTTTTATCCATTTTGAATTTGTTTTCGTGTATGGTGTGAGAAAGTACTCCAGTTCCATTCTTCTGCATGTTGTTGTCCGGTTTTCTCAACAAAATTTGCTGAAGAGACTATCTTTTTCCCATTAGATATTTTTTCCAGCTTTGGCAAAGATTAGTTGGCCATACATTTGTGGGTCCATTTCTGGGTTTTCTATTCTGTTACATTGATCTATATGTCTGTTTTTGTGCCGGTACCACATTGTCCTGATGATCACAGCTTTGTGATACAGCTTGAAGTCTGGAATTGTGATGCCTCCAGCTTTGATTTTCTTTTTCAACTTTACTTTAGCTATTTGGGGTCTTTTCTGGTTCCATAAAAATTTTAGAATTGTTTGTTCTAGCTCTGTGCAGAATGCTAGTGTTATTTTGATAGGGATTGCAGTGAATGTGTAGATTGCTTTGGGTGGTATAGACATTTTAACAATATTTGTTCTTCCGATCCATGAGCATGGGATGTTTTTCCATTTCTTTGTGTCTTCTTCAATTTCTTTCTTAATTTTTCTATAGTTCTCAGTGTACAGATCTTTTATTTCTTTGCTTAGGCCTATTCCTAGATACCTTATGGGTTTTGGTGCAATTGTAAATGGGATCTATTCCATGACTTCTCTTTCTGCTCCTTCATTATTGGTGTATAGAAATGCAACCAATTTCTGTATGTCGATTTTAGATCTTGTGACTATTGAATCCATGTATCAGTTCTAGTAGTTTTTGGTGGAGTCCTCCAGGTTTTCCACATAGAGTATCACGTCATCTGCGAAGAGTGAAAGTTTGACTTCTCCCTGCCAATTTGTATGCCTTTTCTTTCTTTTTGTTGTCTAATTGCTGAAGCTAGGACTTCCAGTACCATGTTAAACAACAGTGGTGAGAATGGACATCCCTGTTATGTTCCTGACTTTACAGGGAAAACTCTCACTTTTTCCCCATTGAGGATGATATTAGCTGTGGGTCTTTTGTATATGGCCTTTAGGATGTTGAGGTATGTTCCTTCTATCCCTACCTTATTCAGGGTTTTTATCAAGAAACGATGCTATATTTTGTCAAATGCTTTTTCTGCATCACTTGAGAGCATCATATGGATCTTATCCTTTCTTTTATTAATGTGGTGTATCACAGTTGATTGATTTGTGAATATTGAACAAACTCAAGATGATCATGATTTTTGTCTTTCATCTTGCTTATGTGATGTATCATGTTGACTGATTTGTGTATATTGAACCTTCTTTGCATCCCTGGAATAAGTCCCACTAGATCATGGTGAGTGATCCTTATAATATATTGTTGAATTTGGCTTGCTAATACTTTGTTGAGGATTTTTGTATTAATGTTAATCAGAGATATTGACCTGTAATGTGTGTGTGTGTGTGTGTGTGGTGTCTGTCTGGTTTTGGTATCAGGGTAATCCTTGCCTCATAAAATTAGTTTCGAAATGTTCCTTCCCCTTCAATTTTTTTGGAATAGCTTGAGAGTAGGTATTAATACTTCTTTAAATGTTCAGTAGAATTCACCCATGAACCTGTTTTGTCCTGGACCTTTGTCGGAATTTTTTTTTTATTACTGATTCAATCTCCTTACTAGTAATCAGTCTGTTCAGATTTTCTATTTCTTCATGATTCATTTTTGGAAGATTATATGTTTCTAGGAATTAATCCATTCTTTCTCGTTGTCCCATTTGTTGGCATATAATTGTTCATAGTACTATCTTATGATCCTTTGTATTCTATGGTGTCAATTGTAACTTCTCTTTAACTTCCGATTTTATTTTTTGGCCCCTCCCTTTTTTTCTTGATGAGTCTGGCCAAAGTTTTACCTATTTTGTTTTCTTTTCAAAGAACCAGCTCTTAGTTTCATTGACCTGTTCTATTTTTCTGTCTCTGTTTCATTTCTTTCCACTCTGATCTTTATTATCCCCAATCCTTCTGCTAACTTTGAGCTTTGTTTATTCTTCTTCTAGTTCCTTCGGGTATAAGGTTAGATTGTTTATTTGAGATTTTCCTTGTCTCTTGAGGTAAGCCTATCATGGCTATGAACTTCCCTTTTAGAACTGCCTTTGCTGCATCCCAATGATTTTTGAAGGTTGTTTTCATTTTCATTTATCTCAATGTATTTTTTTATTTCCTCTTTGATTTCCTCATTGACCCATTGACTGTTTACTTGCATGTTGTTTAGCCTCCATGTTTATGTTTTTTTCCAATTTTGTCTTGCAACTGATCCCTAATATCATACCATTATGGTCATAAAAGATTCTTGATATGATTTCAGTCTTCTCAGATTTATTAAGACGTGTTTTGGGGCCTAACATGTGGCCTATCCTGGAGAATGTTCCATGCACACCTGAAAAGAATGTGTATTCCGACATTTGGGGATGCAATGCTTGATATGTATCTATGAAGTCTATAAACCCATCTGGATGAGAATTCCCTCACCCGCATTATCCTCCCCACCTCCTTTTAACCCCGAATTTCCCTTAGAGTTTTAGTATTATGGGTTTTGATCCCTCTCCCAACCCATTTCCATCTCAGTTCAAGGTCAGTCTGGGTTCTGGAAAATTCCTAACCTAGCAGCAGCCCACCTTCATCCCCAAAGCAATGGTGTGCAGCCAGCTCAGCTTGGAGAGCAAATCCCACTAACACCTTTAAAATTGCAGCAACATCTGGGGCTCCTGGGTGGTTCAGTTGGTTAAGTGTCCAACTTTGGCTCAGATTATGATCTTGCAGTTGATGGGTTCGAGCCCCACGTCGGGCTCTGTGCTGACAGCTCGGAGCCTGGAGCCTGCTTCGGATTCTGTGTCTCCCTCTCTCTCTCTCTCTGCCCCTCCCCCACTTGTCTGTCTCTCTCCCACTCTCTCTCTCTCTCTGTGTCTCTCTTTCTCTGTCTCTCTCTCTCTCTCTCTGAAAAATAAATAAACATTAAAAAAATTAAAATAAGATAAAATAAAATAAAATTGCAGCAACATCTCACTCTTCAAGGGTAGAGTGAGAAGTCAGAGAGAGTTCACATGCCCAAACTGCTAGAACCTGGTGAAAATAGAAGCAGCTAGGGTAGAGGCCTCAACTGTTCTGCATGCAAAGCACAGTAAGTGCTTGCAAGCTAGACCGTTTGCGGTTGCCCCATCTACCCTAGCTGCAGCCCTGCAGAGCTGCTGCCCCACACTCTGGACCTGCAGCTGAGCAGAGGTGGAGTGGAGACAACTCAAGTCAAGAGATCTGGTAGAAAGAGAACAGTAAGGGAAATGCATAAATGTTAACATCTTAGGGAGACTGGATAAGACACCGGTTTCCTACATTACTTCCTCGCTAAGTGCACCTCTCTCCCGATCAACAGAGTCATGAAAGAATTGCCTGTCATTGTCAGATTGGTTTCCCATTTCCAGTCAATCAGAAAATCTAGAACACAAAAAGTTAGAAAGGTCACACTTTCCATTCCTGTCTTTGGCAATAAGCACACGGAATTCTTTCCAGACTCTATGGAACTTCTCACCTAAAGACTTCTGGGAAAAACCTTACTCTCAGAAACTGCTTCCTGGTATTTAACCCGGCCCTCCATGCTTCGGTTTAAACTCACATGTTCTGTCTTCAAAGGAGATGAGGGTTCATGGCCTCCTTCTCTGTTGAGGGCTCATTAAGTAGCTTCCAGATTTTATCTATTTTTTTTAATGTTTATTTATTTTTGATAGAGAGAGAGAAAGAGAGTATGCGAGCAGGGGAGAGCAGAGAGAGAGGGAGACACAGAATCCCAAGCAGGCTCCAGGCTCCGAGCTGTCAGCACAGAGCCCGATGTGGGGCTTGAACTCACAAATCATGAGATTATGACCTGAGCTGAAGTTGGATGCTTAATGGACTGAGCCACCCAGGCGCCCCTCCACATTTTTATCTATTAAAAGTTATGCTGCAGTGAGCAGTCCTGTGTATGTCTTTTGGTGCCAATACACATGCATTTCTGTTCAGTATGTACCTAGAAGCAAAAATGCTGGGTCATCGGGTATTCGTATAACCCATTTAGGAGATTTTGCCATGCAGTTTTCCAAAGTGGTTGTACCAACTTACATTCCTACCAGAGGTCTACAAGAGTTCTGGCTGCTTTACATCCTCACCAGCACTTGGCTGTCTATCTTAACAGTGTTAGCCATTCTTATGGGGAATGTAGTGTTTTCATTTAATTTAAATCTGCATTTCTACAGTGATTTATGAAGTCAAGCTTCGTTTTCTGTTTATTCGGCGCTCAGGTGTCTGCTTTTGTAAATTACCTACCCAATTATCTTGCCCATTTTCCTAGTGGGTTGTCTGTCTTTTTCTTACTGACTTGTAGAAAGTCTTATATTCTGGATATGGGTCCTTTTTCAGTCATATGTATTGAAAATATCTTGTCACCCTGTGGCTTGCCTAATTGCTCTCTCAATGGTGTCTTTTTAAGGACTAGTTCTCAAAATAATAGCCTGACAGTCTTAAAACCTCAGATTCAGAAACTCTAGCCTGACCTACTCTGACCTCATCGACCTCTGAGCTCCTCTGATGGTCTTGTGGACCATTTTCAGGATTCCTCTTTTCCACCTCATTGCAGTGTCCAAACACATTTCTCCTTGGATAGGAAGGAAGCTTGGAGAACTGGAGGTCACTCAAGGTAGGGAACGGATCTTAGTGTATCCAGAACTGTGCTGCCTTGCAAGCTAAGTGATGCTGAAATCACACAAATTCTGGTAGTCTCTGGATCTTCCCATAGCCGTGTCCCATCCTGGTTCACTAGCATGAGCTTTTCGAAGCCATGGAGAATGTTCAAAAGTGCTTACTAGTAAATTCCCTGACTCCTTCATGCTTCATGGTGAAGAAAGTTCACTTAAATAATACCCCCTCAACCAGAGAGGAAATTTGAACTTTTGAAGTTTCTTCCCCACTTCCTCTATATAGGCTATGAAGCAGTAACACCACCTACGTCAGAGGGGTCACTCACCCACCCCTGGGCCTGTGGCTCAGATGCTCTGCCCTCCACCCCGACTTCGAGTCTGCCTTCGGTCGGACCTGTATCCCCGCTCTGTGCCAGGTCAGGCCCCATGCTGCTCTGCAGGGTTCTGCTGTTTTTCAGTAAGTCACCGAGCATGGGCTTTACTTCCTGGGCACCAAAGACTGTAAGTTATTTATGGGAATCCTAATTTCCCCTTTCCAGGTTCTAGTGGGTTTTATGGCTGGAGCTTGAAATGAGTGTGTGCACATGGGGTGTGGTGGGGGGCTTCCCTGATGTTTCCCATTGCATTTTCCTGGGTCCTTGGTAGGGCAGGCCTTGAGTGTGTCAGAGCTAAACTAAGGAGGCAGAAAATCACCTTCTGAGGCCCACCCACATGTTTACCCCATGAAATAAGGTTAAGTTACTCATCGGGCTGCCTCAAAAGGAAAATGAAGTTATGGCTTTGGGCAGGGGTGGGCTGGAGGACCAGGAAAATGGGAGAACGGAATTCTGTGCATTTTGCTCAGCAGCAGAAGGTGGGCTTTCACAAAAAGTATTTTGGGGGGCACCTGGGTAGCTCAGTAGGCTAAGCATCTGACTCTAGATTTCAGCTCAGGACATGATCTCATGGTTCGTGAGCTCGAGCCCCATGTGGGCTCTGAGCCCACAGTGTGGAGCCTGCTTGGGCTTCTCTCTCTCCTTCTCTCTGCCCCTTCCCCACTTGAGCTCTCTCTCTCTCTCCCTCTCTCAAAATACATCAATAAACTTTGGAAGAAATCAAAGATAAATTTTTATGAAACCTCCGCATTTTTTTAGAACCACTCTACAATGTCCAGGCTGCTCACCTGATTAAGAGGCTTTGCCCGGAGTGTTCAAGCCCTTTACAAACTGGCCATCCTCCTCCTGCCTCTCTCTATTGGGGATTGTGGTGGGGAGGTCTGTTTCAGGTGTGACTGGTCCTTGGGGATGGTTCAAAGAATCAAACCCATTCTCTCTGATCTATCTCTCTCTCTTTGAGCCACCTCCCCAGGGGCCACCCGTCACCCTCACCAGAGACTGAAGGGACTGGTCCTCCAAGGTCAGAGGATTATGAGAGTGGGGAGAGGGCCACTGGGCCTCCCCGACTCAACTCAGTCTCAGCCGCTATCACCCTGCCACACTTAGAAGGAACAATTCTGGGCATATGTTTTACATTACAATTTCTGAATTGACTTACTTTTTATTTTAAACTTGTTCCCAATAGTTTGTGTTTGTTTGTTCGTTTGTTTGTTTGTTTGTTTTCATTGAACCAGAAAAGCAAACCATTCCTAAACGTGATCTCTTCCTGGACAGGATTTGCGGGCATTTGACCCTGTAAAGAAACACTTGTTCCGCCCAATGCTCTTCCTTCTCCCACCTCATTGTTACCCTGTGTGCTTACAAATGGCCATTTGAACAAGGGAAAAGGTCTAATGGTCATACTGGACAAGGTCAGGATGGCCTAGTGCCTGGATATATTCCAGAAGGAAGGTCATCATGGGCAAATCACCACCTTGTAAAAGGAACAGCCCTTGGACTTGACTGGATAAAGTCCAAGCGTTTGGAACCCAGTATCTGGATGGGGAAGACCAAAGCAAGAGAGGAGAGAGTCAAAAGCTGACTGACTAGGGGACAGAGTGGTAGAGGACCCAGATTCGACAGGGTCATGCGTGATGCTTGGGGACCCCAGAAGACCAGCCTAAAATGGAGACCCCATGGCTAGATGTGGAGGAACAGAGTTACCAGAAGTGCACAGCTGCTATTTCCTCTTAGATGTGGGCAGAGAGACAGAGAAAACACCCTGCTCAGTAGTGCACACATTATCTCATCTAACCTTTCAAATCGTATTGGGTGGGTATTTTTTGTCCCTATTAAGCAATTGAGGAACCTTTCAAAAAGGTTAAGAAACTTGTGTAGAATTGCTCTGGCAACAAGAGCAAAACTGAAATACAACTCCAACTCCACTTGTTGCCAGACGCATGCTTTCTGCATCCCACCCGGATGCCTCGGCCAGGACTCTGGTTGGGTTCTAATCACGTAGGGCTGGAAAATAAAATTCATTTAAAGTGCCTGGTGGGGCGTGTTCACACAATAGATGGTGCCCGTTACTCTTACTGGCCATCGGGGACTCGACAGGCGAGGGGCCCCTGGCCCTGAACGTAATGGGACACGGCCGTGCGTTAAAGGTGACTTGAAGTTTAGGAGATGAGACTTAATTTCCTTCCAAGCTGAGCATCAGCCAGTTCAGCCCCAGGACTGGAACCCACCACCCGTAGACACACACACTGTCCATGACAGGTGTCTCTGGGCTTCCACGTCACGGCCACCCCTAGCACCACGGAAGCCATAGCTTGGCGAAGCAGCAGGTTCCAATGTCCCAGAGCGTGACTGTGACAAAGTCCCTCACGCTTTGCTGAAATCTGCTTCCTTGGTCTCTCTCATTTCCTCTGAATCAGTCTCACTTCTACCTGAAAGTCTCTTCCCTCTTTTACACTTAGCCCATCAAATATTTGGAGACTACTATGTCCCTGCTTCCTCGAGTGGGGAATGGTTTCTTGGCCCTGCTCCTCAGCCTGGTCTGCTTGGGCTCGATGCCCTTTGTCAGTGGACCAGGCCCTGTGCCTTCCCCTCCCCGCCCCCCACCATGGCCTGAGTAGTGCCAAGGTCAGCGGGGCTGCGGCCTCCATTGCCCAGGACTCTGTTGTGAGGCTTATTCAACGGCGGCTCTTGGCTGTGTTGTCGCCTCATCTTCAGCCCATGGCCCTCTTTGTAGGAAGTGCTGTAACGTGGCCGCTGCCCCTCTGCGCGCCCCGCTGCCCACTGACTTCATTACAGGCACCGGCTTTGCGGGCACAGCTCCCAGGTCTCATGGGGTCTGGGGACACAAGCTCATCTGAAGTGTCTCTCTGCTCTCTGGATGCCCCCTCTCTGGTTGTAGGGCTTCAGTGCCCTCACTCCTGTTTACTCATCACTTTGAAGCTGCAGAGGTGTTTTGCGGGTGAGGAGGGAAAAGGAAGAGGGACATCACTATACTGCGAGGTATTAGTCACTCTGAGGTCAGGCCTCCTTTCTGCTTTCAGTCAACGCGGTAACCACTTTTCCAGGTGGTGGGTCACGGTAATCTACGCAGACAGTCTGCAGGGAAGAAATGGCTGTGACGGCTCCCACTGTGTAGACGGGACCAGGAATTCAAGGCTATTGGAATTTCAACGAGCTGTCCAAGTTCACATAGAAAGAGGTGGATTCACGAGTCCAGTTCAGGTCACGTGACTCCGAGCCCTGTGTGTTTCCCACTGCACTAAGCCCAGGGAGGAGATGTGCTTAGGGGCCCCCCGGGGGGCTCAGTCGGTTAAGCGTCACGACTCTTGGTTTCGGCTCTGGTCATGATCTCATGGTTCCATGGGTTTGAGCCCCGCGTCGGGCTCTGCGCTGGCAGCGTGGAGCCCGCTTGAGATTCTCTCTCCTCTTCTCTCGGCCCCTTCCCAGCTCGTCCTATGTCCGTCCATGTCAAATAAATAAACTTAAAAAGTTTCCAAGAGATATGTTTAGATGGACCCAGTGGGAGATAGAGGGTTGACAAGGAAGACTCATAATTCTGCACACACTGAGCCTGTGGCTGAGCTAATCCCGAGCGGAGCAGAGAACTGAGGCTAAAAGCCTCCGTCTGGGTCCCAGGCCACATGGACAGCAAGGGTGACAACGAGTGATTCAACACACCAAACAGCCACATCTCAAGCCCCTGGTGAGAGGGTCTTCAATGGCCCTCCCAAGGCCATTCCCACATTCCTCCATGTCTACACAGCACCTAGGACATGTCAGTGTGAAGGACACAGTAACTGCCTGAGGACGGCTGGCCCGACCACGCTTGCCCAATGCCACTGACTGCTTCACTCCTTGTCACACAGTCTAGAACACTCTCCACCACGTCACGCCCAGCTGTGCCCCCCCCCCCCCCCCCCGCCACCCATGCCATCCCCTGTGCCTTTCATACCTGTCTAACCTCATCTGTCATCACTTTGTGGTTTGGCCTCTCTTCCCGGGCCACCTATGCTCCTCAAATATTCATTCATTTAAAAGCATTCATACCATGGGGCGCCTGGGTGGCTCAGTCGGTGGAGCGTCCGACTTCGGCTCAGGTCACGATCTCGTGGTCCGTGAGTTCGAGCCCCGCGTCGGGCTCTGTGCTGGCAGCTCGGAGCCTGGAGCCTGCTTCAGATTCTGTGTCTCCCTTTCTCTCTCTGCTCCTCCCCCGTTCATGCTCTTGTCTCTCTCCGTCTCAAAAATTAATAAACATTTTTTAAAAATAAATAAATAAATAAAAGCATTCATACCACATATAAAGGTCCAAGCATAGTGCGTGATGCACTGGCCTGTGTGTTATCCCCTCACCCGCCCCATCTGACCCGCCCATCCAGGGATTCCTCACCTCCCTCAGCCATCACTTCCAGGCTCTACTCTCCAGAGCCGCGTAGACAGATCTGGCCGCAGGAAACGCCAGGTCTGCTCTCTGAGTTCTTCTGCGGGTGCAGGTAAGCGTTCAGACCCACTAGTGCAAGAGTTCACTCTTGTGTCTCCCACGTCGCGTGCCCTGCCCCACGTGGCTGGGCACGGAGGAAAGCATTTATTCAGTAGATGCTTGTTGAACACTGACCCTTCCGGGCACGGGTCCGAGACATAGGTGACAAGACCGTGAACAAGTCTCCACCCTCGTGGGGCAGAGGGTGAGGCAGCTGATAACAAGTAGGCAATTTAAAGAATAAGATCATTTCAAATAGAGATAAGTGCTCTGATGATAGTACAGTGGGGTGTTAGAATAGGGGTTGAGGAGAAGTCCTTCAATGGGGGGCCCCAGAACCACCTAAGGAAGCAACATTTGAATGAGACAGGGAGCAGAGGATTCCAGGCGCTGGGTCCAACGTAAAAGCTAAGTGGTTTGGTGCTCGGATGGCTGGATGGTTGAGGGACTGAGGGCCTGAGTGGCTGGGTGGGTGGTTGAGTGGCTAGGTAGCTGAGTGGTTGAGTGGCTGGGTAGTTGGATGAGTAGGTGCTTAGGGGGCTGGGTGGTTGGTTTATTGAATGGACATGAGCACCCGTGCCTGAGGGGACAGGCCTCTTTGTGAAAAGGTTCTATTATTTACCCTAATTCTATCACTCTGTTCTCTTACAGTTCCCTGTGTTGGGCAAAGTGGTGAGTCTTGTGTATGTCCCTTCCGTCTCCAAGTGTGTCCCTGGACCAAAACTTAGTTGATGGGCCACCGGGTCCCCCGGAGGCGTCTTCACAACAGCATACTAGGCCCATTCCTCAGGAGCCTTGGCTGATACCCGGGCAGAGATGAGACCTGGGACTCCACTGTTCTCAGGCTGAGGATAATTCTAGGTGGCTCAAGCCCCAACAAGTGGCTCTGGGGCTCATCCTATTCCCTTGTAAGTGGCACTGGCCTCTGTCCCTCTCAGGGTGGCTCTGGAGCTCCTGTATCCTCCACTCAGCAAGGCCCCGGACTCCCTTCCATCCCTCGTATGTTCAGAGAAGGCAGCTTTGATCCTCAGCCCTTGCTGCCTTCCAGTCCGTCCTGACCTTCACGGAGCTTTCTATCAAGTAGGAAGAAGCCTGACCTATGAACGTCTTCACCTCCAAGGACATGTTCTATGGTTCCGGAGGCAATGGGTGCTGCTGGGCAGAACTCGAAGCCGTGCTCAGTGCTGCTCGACAGAACAGGAGTAAAAGCAAGGCTCGTCATTCAGTCACCCCGTGAGGCTCCAGGGGCCGGTCCTGAGGACTGAGGCAAAGGCAGGATATACCGGGAGTCCCTATCTGATTCTTCATTATTGTTCTCAGTTTATCAGGCCTGGCTCCTGAGACTCTCTGGGACCAATGGTGTCTGACTTGTCAAAGAAGTATGGCCTAGGGACAGACCCAGGCTGGGGTCCCCGGGAGCTCTTCTCTTGTCCACATCAGGCCATAGAACGCATTTTAGGAATGAGGACAGACAGGACAGATCCCTCCCCACCATGGTGAAAATGAAACTCCCTGCTGGGGGAGGAGGTGGGGGCCAGGGGCCTGAGAAGGAAGGCAGGAGGGACGAGCCCTGGCGGGCACTTCCTACATCCCTCCATCAGGCTCTGGCTGGCGGTCCGGGGCCAGCTGTTCTCAGAGGTGGATGCTGCAGAAAGGCTTGACTGGGGGAGCCAGGGGGCAAGTCACCAGTCCAGGGAGGTGAGGATTGGGTGAGAAGGAAGGAGTTAGGACAACGGATGGAAGGAATTCAACTGGACCCAAGCTTGGCAACGTCGAAAGGGCGAAGTAAAAGGAGCGGAGGGGAAATGCAAGGATAAAGGCCAAAGAGAAGAGACGGGGGAGGAGGGTGGGAGGGGAGTAGAGAGAAGAGGCAGGGGAGAGGAAGGAGGGGAGGAGGGGAGGGGAGAGGAAAGCAGAGGCCCCGCCCAGGTCTGGCAGGAAGGCCTGGGGGGCGGGGCGGCTCAGCAGGTGCCATCCAGCAGCCTGTGTCCCCAGGGGGAGGCCTGAGGCGGGCTTGGGGGGGGGTGGGGACAGAGGGAGAAAATGGCCACGCAGTGTGTGGCTCCGGGGCCACCCCGTTCCCGTGTCTCACAGCCTGGCTGCACCTCCGAGCCTGGCCAGACCCCGTGTTCGAGGGAGACGCCCTGACTCTGCGATGTCATGCATCGGCCAACAAGGTCCTGTCCCAGGTGAAGTTCTACAAAGACGGAAGATTACTCCAAACCCCGAAGACCAGATGGTCCCTGTCCGTGGGGACGGCTACCCTGGAAAGCAGCGGCCAGTACAGCTGCTCTGGGAAGGTGGCCTACGTCCCATACCTGGGCAGACAAACCTCAGAGCTGGTCAAGGTTCAAGTCCAAGGTGAGTCACCAGCTCAGGGGGGTCGGGGGTGGGGCTGGGATGCTGCTCAGGGATCTGGTCTCTAGAGGTCAGCAGCTGTCCCTCTGGCTGCCCCTGATGCCGGGCGACCACAGGGCCCCCGTCTAGAGCCAGGGGAAGGAAGTGCCCTGAACCAGCCTGGGCCAGACCCTTCCCCTCTGGGGACCAGCTGACCCCTACGGCCCTCTGGCTTTGGCTCGGGACTCCAGAGAGGCTCTGGCGGTGTGGGTCGTGGCTGGGAGGTGGGTCCCGGGACACAATGACAGGGTCTCCCGTGGGGCGTGGGGCTGTGACCTGGGATGCGCTCTGGCTTGGACCCCGGCCTCTGGGGACTCAGGGTTCTGGAGGCCCCCCCGAGCCTGGGCCCACGTCTCCCCAGAGCCGTTCCCACCTCCTGTGCTGAGCGCTGTCCCCTCTCCCGAGCTCCGTGAGGGGAGCCCCCTGACCCTGAGATGCCAGACGAAGCTGCACCCCCAGAAGTCAGCCTCGAGTCTCCTCTTCTCCTTCCACAGAGATGCCAGCACCTTGCGGGACTGGGGCCCCCACCCGGAGTTCTACCTCCCAGGAGCCCAGGAGAGAGACTCTGGGCTTTACTGGTGCCAGGCCACCCTTGAGGGTGGTGTGGCCCAGAAGCAGAGCCCCCAGCTGGAGGTCAGGGTGCAGGGTGAGTGGGGAGGGAGGGGAGACACTCCCCAGGGGTCTGGGCTTTGGGCATCGGGACCCCGTGGGCCTATGGGGAGGGATCCCCAGGGGAGGAGGGGCCAGGAGCCTGGGCGGCACAGCTGAGCCTCCCCGCTCTGTGCTGTCCCAGTTCCTGTGTCCCAGCCTCTACTCACCCTGAGACCTGGCCCCACCGGCCTCGCTGTGGGGGCCATGGTGGAGCTCCTCTGTGAGGCCCAGAAGGGCTCCCCTCCGATCTCGTACTTGTTCTACCTGGACGGGAAGATCCTAGGGAACATCTCCTCTCCCTATGGAAGAGCCACCTGCTTCCCGGTCACCGTGACGTCAGAGCAGGATGCCAGATACTCCTGCCGGGCAGAGAATTATGTTTCCGGAGAGACCAGTGAGCCCAAGATACTCTCCCTGGATGGTACGTCTTGTCCCCCAGCTGGGCTCTGAGCCCCAGCAAGCTGGCAGGGGGCAGGTCCCACCCCTCCGTGTGCCCCACACCCACACCCTGCACGAAGCTGGACCCATAGCAGGCATGCATGACGGAGCCTGGACGCTGCTCAGAGTATCCGTCCACTGGACCTGGAGGGAAAACAGGAGATCCTTGGTGGGGGGTGGGTGAGACGGCTGCCTGTCCTTGTTGGCGTCCTCGGGGCCATCCCTGATTCCATCTGCAAAGCTCCCCAGGCCACGCCATCCCCCCTGATGCCAGCCATTCTGCCTCTTTCTGTCCATCTGAGGTACAATTCTGAATTTCATCCTCAGCACTCATGGTCACCCCTACCTGGGGCTGGTCTGCCCCCAGCAGCCCCCACTGGCTGGTTGCCGGGCTGTCCGCGAGCCTGCTTGGTGTGCTGGTCATCGCCACTGCGCTTCTGGCTTGCTTCAGACCCTGGAGAAAAGCTGGTCAGTAACCTTTTTGACTTTCTTGGTGGTTGAATCCCTAGGCCGGGCATTACCCAGCCTTTGGAAGGCCTGCCGGGGCCAGCTGCTTCCTTTTCCAGGGTGTTGGGTGAGAGGAGGGACTTCTCTTTACATGTCACCCAAAGTAGTCCACGGAGGGACCCTTACAGCTTCCAAAACGCACACACACGCAGTCACCCAGGGATGTGCACAACACACGACTGCACGCTTGGGCATGAATGGAGGCACAAGCAGAGGAATTCTCACCCGCCAGACGCAAGCGCCATCAGATTCTTTCACTTTGGAAAGATAATCTGTGGCTGCAAATATAGCAGGGAAACCCCAGGCCTCCAACCCTCTGTCACTAAGCTCAGCAGAGGAGAGAGAAAGAATGAGAAGCCCGATGCGTGTCTGTGCACCTGGGCGCACACACCCCTCTTGTCCAGCGCCGAGCCCGAGGTGAGTGCCCAGGGGACATTCGGTCATCCGAAAGGAACACGGTGGAGAGGACCAAGCAATGGCCCGCTCCCAACACCGCTATTTACTAATTCTGTGACCCCGGGCCGGTTCGCGAAGTGTCTCCGTCCCGGGGTTACTGTGAGCATTTCGGCTGATGACAGCTCCCTGACAGGTGACGTGTTGGGCTGGCACTTGGTGGGCACTCAGTACAGTCTCCGTCTAGTCGACGCAGATTCCCCAGAGCACCCCTTCTCCTACCACACGTCCCCTAGTCTCTCCCGTCGGAACCGCTGAGAATCAGAAGCGTGGTTAGAATTCAGATGCAGTGGGACCCATAGAGAGAAAAAGGGACAGCAACCAGATAAATGGCATTTCCAGGGAGCCCACTGATGTTGGGAGACCCTCCTCCTCTCCTGTAAGGTCATGATGAAGAAGCAGGAATGGGGGCTCCCACAGCCATCACCTTGGGTGGCTCCACACTTATTCCTATTCTAATCTTTCTTCGCCTCAGGCCACATTCAAGGGAAGGCCCATCGGAGCCAAAGCTGTTTGATCCCAGCTTCCTCCTAGGCCTTCAAACCCACCTACTGAGACTCAAATCCACCCCACCCCCTCCTCCCCAGGGACAGCATTCTTATTTTCCACTTGCCAAGGGAAAACGCGATGGCTCCCACAGGCCTCCAAAGCTGGGTTTACTTATTCAAGTTGGCAGCTCCTTCTGTTAAGGAATTCGCGATGAGTTTTTCGGGAGCCGGGCCAGACCACTCCGTGAGAAAGACCACCCAGTCATACACTCAAAGCATTCCTCCCTGAGCACCAGCCAGGATACCTGAAAGGGCCTCTCCCTAGCCCTGGACCCTCTCCCCTGCCTTAGCAGCACCCCAGGTAGGGCTCGGGCCAGCCTCCAACTTCCTCTCCCCTTGTTGACTTATCAGTCTTTGTCCAACGAACATTCCCTCTAGTCCTGAGTCAAGGTTCCGTGCAGGCTATCTTGCTTTAAGGTATAGCTACCCGGATGGCAGGAGAAAGGTGGAGGCAGGCCCAGAGCTAGATGGGGAGGCAGCTGGAATAGCGGGCCAACACTGCACGTGTGACTTCTAGCATCCCTGCGTCTACAACAAAACCCTCTGCAAAGGGCCCGGCCATTTACCTGGTGTCGGTAACACGGGTGTTTCTGTTTCTGTCCACTCATCTCTGGGTCAGAACATTAAAGACAAGGCAGTGCAGTGGGGGGGGGGGGGGGGGGGGTGGGGGGGGGGCCGCAAAAGGAAGAAGCCACCCCCCCCACGTGGGGGGGTGCGCCCCCCCGGGCCACGCCCCCCCCCCCCCCCCCCCCCCCCTCCCCCCCCCCACCCCCCCGCCAGCGCCGCGGGGGCGGGGGCGCGTCGCTGGGGAGGGGTCCTCAAGAGGAAGAAGCCTCCCTCTTCACGTGGAGGTTCTGCCCCTGCACGGTCCACGCTCCCCCCGCCCCCAACCCCCACTGCCAACCCGGGAGCAGCTGGGTTCTATTGTATTAAGGAACCTGTCGCCGGAGAAAATAGGGCTTCTGGTGGCGGTCCTCCTATCTCAGAAGCTCAGCGACACAAAACGTTTAGAGTATCACACGGAAGACCACCTCCGGGCCCGGTTCCAAAGCTCCCTGAGAAAAGCTGTAGATCAACAGCTTCATCCCCCACACCCCGTTCTGGAAGATTCTTAACCATCTCCAGATAACCTAGCCACTTCTTCGACAAGCAAAAACCATGCCGCCACCAAAGATGCCCAACGGGCTGCATCTCGCAAGGCAATTTTCAAAACATGAAAATTCTTGCTGTCAGAGCTAATGGACATTTCCTGGGCACCAGGTGTGAGCAGGTGCTCTAAAATCCACATGTGGCCCAATTCCTATCCCAGGAGCTAATCTTTAAGGTTCTGGAAGCACCCGCTTTCACAGAGGCAGCACGCCAGTGGAGAAAAAGCATATAAACCTGGATTGAGATTCTGTCCCTACCCCTCACCTTGTATGACCCTGGAGAAGTCGCCTCTCCCAGCCTCAGTCACCTCCTCCATAATACTACATATGATACTATGATATCATAGCGTCGACCTTTGCACGACGGTTGTAAAAAGACTCTCAGACCCCAAAGGGTTAGGAAGGGAGGCTCTTTTGCCGTCCAGCTATGTGCTGGGCACGGGGTTAGCCACTGTGCCGTGAAGTAGACATCGTGTTCGAACTCCCTGGCCCAGTGTCTCGCACATAGTGGGTGGTCACAGTTATCAGCTTCTCCTTCTTCTGTAAAGCAGCCTGACTGGTGAATCTGGGCCCTCTCCATGCAGGGGACGCGGCCCATCCTTGGGGACCCTACTTCCTCCCGGCTTGTGATTCCCATGGGGCCATGCTACCCTCTAGGGTATTTTTCAAAGGAAACATCCCATAAAAATTAACCGTGTCCAGACCTGTGAATTAGCCCTCGTAAACAAACCAGACTCAGACCTCCAGCAGCCTCCACCGACTTTCTTTCTCTCAGACTCTCTACCCCCTACTTTCCAGCACGCTTTCTCAGGGAACTCAACAAATTGCGCCTTTGTATCTCCCAGAGTCCCTTCCATCTCAGAATCCACTCCCAGCCCCCGGTGGAGAGCAGGACCTACTGTATGGCGAAGGTAAGTCCCTCCAGCAGGACCACGCATGGTCTGTCCCGGAGGGCAGAAGAGGGCCTCTGAAGGGGAGCAAGAATGAGCCTCCTGGGAGCCCCCAAGTCTCAGGAATCGGTCATCGGGGAAGGAAGCGGATGGTTTCTGGGGAGAGCTAGAGGGGACAGTGCCACGAAGCCGGTGGAGGCACAGGGAGGTAGGAGGGAAGCCCGGCCTCCGAAGAGAGGGCGTGGAGAGGTTAGACCAACGGTTGGCAAACTCTGGCCCGTGGGCCAAATCTAGTTCACCACACAATTTTGCATTTGTGGAGAACATTGTATATGTTTTGTGTATGGCTCCTTTCACACTACAGAGCTGAGTGGAGGCAACAGAGGCCGTATGGCCTGCAAAGCCTCAAGGGTTGACTCTTGTTTACAGAAAAAGAGTTTAAACCTCTGGTTGGGGCTGGTGAAGCTACTGGAACCTGCTGTGGGGGCGGGCGCCTTCTGTCAAGATGGGTATCCCACATTAATGGCTGCCACCCACTCCCAGCTACCGCCATGACAGAGCCCCCGACTGGCTTCCCTCCATAGGTGTCTTCAGGACACGGGGGTCTTGAGGTGGGAGAGCAGGTGGGTCCTATTCGAGCCCCATTCCTTCTTTCAGTTCGTTGGCAGAATGAGAATGAAGATGATGATTACTCTGTAGTGTATGCAACCTCCCGGAAGAGTAAAGGTGAGTACTCTTGGATGAAACTGGACATTTTTGCCAATGTAAAGGGGAAGTTTGGGGCCTGGAGTGAAGTATCACTACCGACATTACCGCTGTGCCATGACCACGATTATCATCATCACCTCCTCCCCCATCACCACCCCCACCATCACCACCATCCCCCCCAAAAACGCTACGTCCACCATAATGACTGTCTTCCACATCATCTCCACCACCGTTGCCACCCTAACTAGGGAGTGTTTCTGCCTTTTTCTCAGCACTGTGGAGGAACAAAGAAAACAGAGAGAGAGAATAACACAGTGCGCCTTTGCCCCAGAGTAAAAGTCTCAGCAAGACAGTCCAGCTCTTAGAGGAGCCGAGACCCTGAGGTCCGGCCACTGACACCAGAATCAGATGGCAGGGACGGGGAAAGGCTAGTCATCCCTCCAACGGGGGGGGGGGGGGGGGCAACATGGCGTCATGGGGAGAGTATGGGTTTCTGAGTCAGTCGGATCTGAGTTCGAAACTGGACTCTGTATTCACTGTGCTGCTACTGGGCAAGTTACTTAAGCTCTCTCTCTTAAGCTCTCTAATGTATAAAAAAATGGAGATAACGCTTAATTTTGCAAGGCTATTTTAAATTACTCGGAATGGAACTGAGGTCTCGACACTTCACAGGTTATCTGCTGTGCCACAGGTGTTCAAAACCAGGAAGCTTCTAGCTCTTGTTTTGCTGCTATTTCTACTCCTGAGCTGTACGATGGGTTTGAATCAGCCTGGGGTTCCTGCTCCTTCCCATGAAGGGCACCAGGGGAAGTGGACAGACAAGGAGTCTCTTGGACTCAGGGGCAGTTTCCCCAGGACCCTAGCATGGCCGGGTAGACGGGAAGGCACACGCACACAGACACAGGTCATTTCAGAGGAGAGTCACAACGGCGACTTGAACACGAGAGAGACAAAAAAAGAAGCCAACCTCCAAATATGGTTTTCGCTGGCTGCAATAAGGAAATGTGGCCGTTTTCATCACAGCAGGGCAACAAGGCGAAGGCGTGATTCAGGGCCGGGTGGCCTCCTCCCAGCTCGCGATAGGCTGGCTCTCCCTGATGGGAGGGCGAGGGGTTCCGAAACCCAGTCAGGAAAGGCCATTGTATTCCGAGATTCACAGGAAGGGGGCGCTGGATCTTCTATCATTGGAAGAATGCTTCACGTATGCAAAGATTTGATATTTGTCTACAGTTACCCTTCTTACAGACATGACCGCAGGGAGTATCAGCCACTCTGAGCCTCCGTTTTCTCATCTCAATTGGAGAAGGAATCAATCATCGCTACTTTGCAGGATTGGTGTGAGATTAATATAATAAATATAATGCTCACACCGGAAGGATTGCCTGGTGCAGGGTAGCTGTCTAACGAAGTAGCTGTTTTAAAGGCACCTTTGATAGGCTCATCTCTCTTTCTTCTCCTTATAATCCCTGTGACCACCCCCTCCCTTCTCCCTGGCTACGGAAGCTGAGGTCCCAGGGCTGAGTGGCTGGCCTGCAGTCGCATGGCTGGGCTGTGGTTGAGGTGGAAAGACCCAGACCTCCTGTGTCTGGATGAAGAACGAGGGGTCCCCAGAGGCGAAAGGGGGAGCAGCGCTCCCTGGGCTGGTCCGTGCTCTGTAAGAGAAGACAGCGTGGAGGAGGCGGGCTGCAGGTGCACGGATGAGCCAGACACCCTAACCGGAGTGTTTCTCTCTCCCCCCCCACAGCCGGGCCTGCTGCCTCAGCCTCGGGGACTCAGGTGAGCTGGGCTCCCTGCCCTCCCCCCACCCTCTGTGTTACATCTGCCTCCTGATCCCGACCCGCCTCTCCCACAGGACAGTTCTGTCATCTACACGGAGGTGACACAATCACAGCTTGGTGAGCTTCCAGCCGCGAAACGGAATCCGAGAAGCAGGACCCACAAAGCCCTCCCTGGTCACTTCGAGGAGGTTCTCCACTATTGATGGCATTCCCCCCAACACCATCCTCTGGTGCTCCCCAGGAGGCCAGCGGGGACCCCAGCCCCTTCTGTAGGTCCCCAGTCCCTGAGTCCAGCAGTGAGGGAGCCCCGTGTCCTGGCCAGGGTCCCCGGGAGACTCGAGGAGCGCCTAAATGATCTCGGAGGCCCCCTCTGAGCAGAACAGGCAGCGTGTGGGCAGGGACATCCGCACTCACGCGTGACGAGGGGACTGGACACGGGAGCCACAGATGTTTTCTTTCACACGAATGGAAGCATTGCAATCCCTTCTGTCTACACATCTGTAAGTGCTTTCTCCCACAGCCCTCGGTCCCCACGGATGTGCTTGGCCTCACCCTGCCGGAGAGAATTAATCTGCACACCCTGAGGGCTGGCCCTGGGCAGCTCCCATAAAGCATTTCCAACTTCCAAGCTTCTGCTGAGGCCCCTGAGTGACCGGGGCATCAAGGGTCGGGGGGGCGGGGGGGGAAGGGCCTGGAGCCCACAATATCGCACAACTCTTAACCCCTGAGCCAGAGCCCCTCCCCAGGCCCGGAGAACGCTGCCTTCGCATGCAACCCGTTTCTGTCCACACCCCTTCCAGGCTCCCAGGTTACCCACGTTTATGGAATGAGGCCTGCCCCGAATCCCCCCTTGGGGAACACCGCAGAAAACTGTTACCCCTTGTGTTTGCAAAGATGTGTGCTGGTAGAACGTATTTGTCCATAGAAAAGCATCAATATTATTCACCAATACCAATCGCTTGTAGTGCCTGCTGGTTCAGTTTGGTCTGGGGTTGTGGAGCCCTCACTCCGTGACGCTGAGAGTGTCGCACTAGTAACTAGGAAGATCAATTATCCCTGCTTCTCCTCCGAGCCCCGGTTCCCTCCGGGTCCCTGCTCCCGGGTCACAGAGTGGGGTCCCGCAGACCCCGCCCGCCTCTCCTGGGAAGAGGTCCACGTTTTCAGAGGACTCCGGCCCGTACACCCGGAGCTGGACACGGTCAGGGTTCATCCTCGAGCTGAATAGAAATGTAGCCACTCAGAGGCAACCCCACATCTGCTGAATCTCAGTCCGCATTGAAAATAAGATTTCTAGGCGGTTCGTATTGCCCAGTAAAGTCTAAAAAGCCTGGTCTGCCTCCAAACTTCATGGGAATACCTCTGTCCACTCGCCTTCTGGAGCGTCACTGGATGACACAAGGGGGCCCAGAGAGCTACTAGGCCAACGCATGTGCTGGTGTTTCTCACTTCCCTATGCCTTCTCTTCCTTCCCTCCCCCCACCTGACCTTCCTCTTCTGCAGCCTCTGCCTCCTCTTCCCCATCGCTCTCTTGGCTGGTCCAATCCACATCCAGGATACACCGGGGCCCCTCCCCCTCGCTTCTTGTCTGCCAGGCCGAGAAGCACATGCCAGGTCATTGGAAGCACAGGGTCCTATCTGGTCAATCAGGAAGCAACTGTAGAAGCCAAGCCTTGCCGCGCCCTCTATAAACGGGCCGGGCCCCTCGTAAAGAGTCCGGTCAAAGACAGGACAGCTCATGAAGGAGACACTGATGCTGGGGACCCGGAAGGAGCCGGCCCTGCCGGTCATCCCCACGGACCGCCTCCTCCCTGAGAACTCACGCCTCCTGCCCTCTGCCCTACACCAGCGACACGGGGCCCAGCTGGGGATGGTCTTTACCGGCCCAGGATGGGCTACGGGGAACAATGAAAAGCAAGAACTCAGACCCTTTTATAGCAACCTGATGGGGCAATTTTGTTTGTTTAATATAGTCCTAAAAAAAAGCGCTTAGATTTTGTATGTTTCTTTTTCTTTTAGTTTTTCGTACATTGCTTTTATTGTATTCTACAAAAGTATGGGTCCGCGATGGATGGGAAAATAAAGAAAAACAGTTCCTTTGATCCAGATAGGTGAAAAGTCCCACCCTACACACACACAGACTCGGTCTACATACACGCCTGTCCCGATCTCTGGCCCCCCCCCCCATGCTCCTCCCCCAGAATTCCTCCCCACCCCCACTTGTATTGACAGAGCCAAAAATATCCTTTCCCCTCAGTTTAGAAAAGAATGAGCCGCCGTTTTAAAAAAATGAACAATTGGGGCGCCTGGGTGGCGCAGTCGGTTGAGCGTCCGACTTCAGCCAGGTCACGATCTCGCGGTCCGTGAGTTCGAGCCCCCCCCCGCGTCGGGCTCTGGGCTGACGGCTCGGAGCCTGGAGCCTGTTTCCGATTCTGTGTCTCCCTCTCTCTCTCTGCCCCTCCCCCGTGCATGCTCTGTCTCTCTCTGTCCCAAAAATAAATAAACGTTGAAAAAAAATTAAAAAAAAAAAATAAAAAAAATAAAAAAAAAATAAAAAATGAACAATTACTCAGAAAATTGAAGACAAAGAAAATCCCCCAAAAGAACATAGAGAAAGCAGCAGCACCCAGGTGGCTCGGTCAGTTCAGTGTCCAACTCTTGGTTTCCATTCAGATCATGATCTCACGGTTGGTGAGTTCGAGCCCTGCATGGGGCTTTGCGATGACAGTGCAGAGCCTGCTTGGGACTCTCTCCCTCTCTCAAAATAAATAAATAAACTTTAGAGGGGGAAAAAAGACCACAGAGAAGGCAGAGCCTTCAGAGGGGACCCCAGACGGGACCCCAGACTCTGGCTGGAGCAGGCGGCCCCAGGGCTCGCTGCCAGCCCTGGAAGCAGGAACCTGCTGCTGGCCCTGGAAAGTAGTGGTGGCGAGGAGAAGAGGACTGTCACGGGTCTCTGGGGACAGACCCTGCAGACACCAAGGAAGGCGGCACATGGCATCCCCAAGCACCGCTGCCCGCAAGGCCCTGCGCTGCAAAACGTCATTCTCCTCTCCGAGTCAGAGCTAAATGCAAACACCCCCCCAGCCGAGGCGAGTTGTCTGCCTGCTCTAGGGACAGGGGCTCCGAGGGGCCGCAGCACCTGCTAGGCAGGCGACAGAGATCACCCGCTGGGTGAGCGGGAGGGAAAGGACTCCAAGCCCAGCCGGGCTGAGGGCGGAGGCAGCCACCGCCCCTTCGGGGAGACTGAGGGCGGACGGGGCCTCGCGGCTGCCCTCTGCTGGCCCCCTTGGGTCCGACCACCCGCCGGACAGCGTCACCGCGCGGTGCCATCAGGCACCGGGCCTTGCTTTGTGTGCGGCTAAACGCTTTAGATGCCAACGACTAAAATGAAACGTGGCCCTTCCCTGAACCGGGCAGGTTGCAGATACTGGGATTTCTTTCAATTCTGGGTTTATTTTAGATTTGGCTAGGAAGTAAGGTCTTGGACAATTTGTCCTAAGCAAGCATCCGCTAAGCAGCCCTGCAGGGGGCGCCTGGGTGGCTCAGTCGGTTAAGCATCAGACTTTAGCTCCGGCCACGATCTTCAGTTCCTGAGGCTCTGTGCTGACGGCTCGGAGCCCGCTTCGGATTATCTGTCTCTCTCTCTCTCTCTCTCTCTCTCTACCCCTCCCCCAAGTGCACTTGTCTCTTTCTCTCAAAAATAAATAAATATTAAAAAAAAAAAAAAAAAAAAAAAAGCCCCGATTCCTTCATCTTTATATTGACTCTCAGGCTCTTTGAAAGATCGGCCTGCGTTGTACTTGTTTGGGGATTCTTTCTGCCTGCGGGGTGCAGATGGGCGGTGACTGGGGCGGAGAACCGCCGTCCAGTCCTCCGCTCACGGGCTTCCCGTGCTGAGTGCTCTACACATCCGCTCACCGGCGCAAGGTGCCCAGGGTGGGGATCCCGCAGATGTTTGCTGAATGACTGAATGAGCGAATGAGAGTCCAGCCCCTCCCTCGCTACCCCCACGAAGCACAGTCCTGGCATTGTCGCTTTTGTATGCAGCCTGCCTTCAGCTCTCTGGGGAAGTATGTTTGTGCCTCAAAAGCAAATCCTACCAAGCCTCGGACCGCCCCACCCAGTTCCTACGGGCTGGTCCCCTTATCTCCCACCTTCCGTCTCAAGCTGCCTGCACCTTGCTCCCGGGCACCAAAGGGCAAAGACTCCGCTCCCTGCCCCTGTCCCCGGCAAGGCCAGGACCAGGGTGGGACAAGACAGGCACCATCCGCACAAATATTAAAGAGGCAGCTCAGGCCGTGCGCGCAGGCTGACAGTGTCCTCTGGTGGGAGGTCAGGTGCACCGTTTCCACACGTGCGGGCACTGCCCCTGCTGCCCAAGCTGGCTGCGGAGGGAGTGGCGGGCATGGGCTGCCCCACCCCGGGCAGCCTTGGGGGCCAGCCGGCGCCCAGTGGCACCGTGTCGGCTTAGGAGGGGCTCTACCTGGCCTCTCGGCCCCCACCCCCCACCCCTCAGAAGGTAACATCTCTGCCCCCTTCCCCCACCCTGGCTCCCAAAAAGCCCGCTGAATGCCCCTCCTTCCTGCCCCCCTGCCTGCCTGCTCCCTTTTTGTCCCTCCTCCACCTCTCCCCTCTTCTGCATGGCCCCATTCTGTGTCCAGGCCAGTCCGAGAATTAACGACAAGTGTGAGTGGGCAGGGCAGGTGCCTCCCTGACACGCACACCCTCCCCCAGATTCCACTGGCCCCGAACAGAGCTCAGGCGGCCCGCGTGGTCACTGGGGACACCTGCTCCCCGCCCCCGCCCGCAGTGGAGGTAGGCTGAGGGCAAGGTGCAGAGGGGGCCGCAGCCTGGAGCCCCAGCGTCTCCCTGGGTCAGGCTTCCCAGAAGGGCCCAGCTGCCAGCTGCTCTCTTAATTAAGGAATGTGGGAGTGGTGCCTTTGAACTCCCAGCCCGTGACTCGAGAGCTGTCCCCGCGGTGGGGTAATTACCGTGCTCTGCACCAGTGGCCAGCAGCAGGGGCGAGCCTGTCTCCGCAGACCCAACCCAGCCCGCACTGCGCCTGTCCATCTCTCTCCAGCCGTCACACAGCCTGGAGCTCTTCCCTTTGGGAGACGGAATGTCCGCTGACCCCCCGCCAACCCCCTCCTCACCCTTCCTTGGCTTCCCTGAAGTTCCCCTGTAGGTAAAGGGCAAGGGGTGGGCTGGGAAGGCCGCGATTTCAACTCAGTGCCTGCTTGGACAGACCAAGTGGGAGAGGAGGGAGTACGATCGCCCACCGTCTGCTCTGCGGGAATTGGGCGCCCCTTTCCCTACATCGCCGCCACGGCCCCACTCCTGCGTCTCACGCCCTCGCCGTCCCAGGCCTGGCACCCGACCGGACACCTGACCAGGGCACTCCGGCTTGGGGAGGCTGCCCGTGGCTATCGACGGGGGGGGCGAGGCAAGGGGCTGGGGGTGTTGCCGGAAGGGGGAAGGGTAGGGACCTGGCCCTGTCCTCACCAAGCTTCCAGTCTGGGACCGGCGGATGGAGCTACTCAACCCGAACCCCCTTGCTCTGCATTAACCTGCTTCTCCTCTCTTCCCTCCCTGGCCACTTAGTAGCAACGGTTAAGATTCTTGTGAGTGCTGACCACGCACCAGACCCCATTCTAAACAAGCCCTTGCAAGCCACCCTTACCAGGCTGACTGTCATTATCAGGTGACACAGCCCATCCCCTCCTCCAGACTGCAGACTCCTCGAGGGCCGGGCCACGCCTTCCATGTCTGTGTTCCCGGCACCTGGCACGTAACTAGGTGCTCAATAAACCCCTGATGAAGAAGGATGGAATTCGCAATGGGGTCACGAATGAGTCCCCTCCCCTGGCCTCTCTGCCCCAAAGCCAGGTGGCTTCCGAGTTCTGTCCCAGCTCTGCCCTGTCCCCTCCTCTCTGCTCTGGGGGCTTCCGTTCTAGTCCCGCCAGGACCATCCCAACGGCTGCCACCCAGGCTTCCCTGCCTCTTCTTCCTCTGCCCGCCTGCCCTGCGTGCGGTCCTTCCACCAGCCAGGCACCCTCAGCTCAGAAGGGGCCACATCCCCTCCCTCGGAGCCTTCCCTCGGCCCACCAGCTGCAGAATCTCCTGGAACACAGGCTGGTTCCACTAGATTCCCGGGTCCTGGCCCAGCCCCCACTGAACCAGAGTCTCCAAGCATTTGAGCCCAGCGAGGTTGAGAGCCGCTGCCCCCAGAACCAAAACCTGATGCCTAAAAGCCAGTATTCAAGCGATCTGACCCTCGACCTCCTTTTCCAGCCCCACCCACGCCAGCCCTGAGGGGCTCCTCCCCTCCCTGCCCTCCTTCATCGTCCTGGCGCCCACCTGGGGCTCCCCCTGCCTGGCCTTATCCACTTGGCTCTTCTTTTCCGGCCTCTGGCTCATCCCTTTTCTCCGCCTACCCAAATCGTGCCTATCTTCAAGGTGCGGCTCAAAGCCCACCTTCTAGGGAAGTGTCCCCTGCCCGCATCCACGGACGCCTCTTCCCCACCGCACCCTCTGCACGGAGAAGCCGCGCTGCCCATGGCACAGAGCCGTGCCTGTGGCACGGCCGACCTTCGTCCTGGGCATATCCAAGCCAGGACACTTGGCCTGTGAGCACCTGGAAGGCAGGAAGCCTATCCTCCTGCTGTCCCGACACCACGGCTGCCTCGTTCCTGGTCGGGTCCCTAGCAGAGGCCAGGAGTTCTGCGGGACCAGACACGGCGAGCCACGCTCGGGACGCGGGGACTCCCCTCGTCTTCCCGAAAAGCCTCCCCAGACTGAAGAGGCCACATAACCGGAAGCGCGAAGAGACCCAGGGCGGAGGAGACACAGCTCTGGCAACGTGGCCCGGGCTCCCAAGGGTGAGGCTCCCGTCCCAGCTCGCACTCGTGACCTCCGCACGGGGCTGACCTCGGCCCCACGCCTGACAGGCGGCAATGAGACCCTCGCGGAGGAGGCCTGTG